CGCTGGGCAGGGGATAGCAGCTGTGCTTGCAAAAGCCCTGGGGCTGGGGGCTGGGGACCTGCAGCCCCCACAGTGCAGGGTTGCTGGCGCCTGGCTGGCTCGTGCATTGCCCCTTACTGTGTTGTCTCCCCCCCCAGGACGATCTGCGGCACCCCCAACTACCTGGCCCCAGAGGTGCTGCTGCGGCAGGGCCACGGCCCCGCCTCGGACGTGTGGTCCCTGGGCTGCGTCATGTAAGTTGTCATCGTGGGCCCCAGCCCCTGCCTGGTGATGCATACCCATGCGGGGAGGGAGGGGGCAGCCGGGGTCAACAGTGTCAACCGCCCCATGGGCTCCCCGGGGGCGGATGCAGCCGGTGGCGGTGACTGTTTCAAAACAACGGAAAATATCAGCGGTGGCAGCCGCAGGGCTATTTATACCGGGCTGATCGTGGGCTCCGGCGTGATTGAGAGCAGCCTCCTGCACCCCGCCAGCCGCAGGCTTCCTGTTGAACTTTCCATCTTCTGCGAGAGCCGGGGCTGAACCTGCCTCCTTCGGCTCGGAGCAGGGGGAGGGCGGCTGGCACTTCCCAGAGGGGTCCGAGGGGCATGGGTGGTCTGCACGCAAGAGGCTTCCCCGTGTGACTCCCCGCCTTGCTCCCAGGTACACGCTGCTGTGCGGCAGCCCCCCCTTCGAGACCTCGGACCTGAAGGAGACGTACCGCTGCATCAAGCAGGTGGAGTACACCCTCCCGGCCTTCCTCTCTGCCCCCGCGCGCCAGCTCCTGGCTGGCATCCTGCGCCGCAGCCCCCACGACCGCCCCACGCTGGAGGAGATCCTGGACCACGAGTTCTTCCGAGTAAGTAGGGCCCCGGATGGGCCTGTCCCTCCCTCCTCCCCCAGGCCTGGGCAGCACGTGCCAGGCAGGACGCGCTTCCTGCCCAGCCGGACAGTGATGCCTGGGGGCCTGTGGGTCACCGGCGTCGGGTGGTGCTGCGTGCCCTGCTCAGATTGCAGCAAAGTCACTGCCTTTTGCCTCCGGAGACCCCCGGCCCCTGTGGGCAAGGCAGGGCCTGGTGCTGGGGATAGCCGGTGGCAGGGTCAGGGGTGATTGCTGGCTCCGTCCAGCCACTGACCCCGGCCCCTACTCCCCAGGCATACACACCGGACAAGCTCCCACCCAGCAGCTGCATGATGGCCCCGGAGCTGACTCCTCCTAACCCGGCCAAGAGCCTGCTCGCCAAAGTCACCAAGACACTGTTTGGGAAGAAGAAACCCAGAGGTGAGCCCAGGGCTGCTCCGGGCTTGCTCCGTGCCCAGCTGCAGCCCTTCCCGCCCCTGCCCTGGGCTGGGAGCCACCCACCGCGGTGTTGCAAACTGAGCCCTGCCTGGGAATTGGGAAGTGAAACTGGGGAGAAACTGCCCCGCCTGAGCCTGGAGGCCGGGAGGAGCTGGGGATGCAAGCCTGGACCCGGGGCGCCGCGGCTGGGGGGCAGACGATGCAGCCCTGCAGCTCTGGGAGGGCTTGTGGGGGGTCCCTGAACTGGGTGCATCCCCTGCGCTGCCGGGCTGGTGTCGCCGGGCATCTTTGCTCACCACCTTTCCCTCCCTGCAGCTAAGAAGGGCCCGGTGGAGGACAAAGACGACCTCTCTAAGCTGGTCGCCGGCTTCATGAAGACCTCGCTGTGCCGACAGACCAGCTACAAGACTATGGAGGGGAACGAGGTGCAGAGAGGCATGGTCCTGGGATGGTGGTGGGCTTTGAGAAACCCCAGCCTCATGCATGGGCTAGGGCTGAGCTGTGGTGTCTCTCCAGGTTTCCCCCGTGTCAGGCCAGACGGCCTCCCTCAGCCCGGGCGAGACGCTGGCCGAGGAGGGCTCCCGCAAGTCCGTGTCCCGCTCGGCCGGAGGCACGATGGCCAGCAGCTGTGAAGGTGGGTGATGAGCTGTGTCCAGAGCCCCCTGCTCGTGGCCTGTCCAGCCCCTCGTGCTCTGGTTAGGGGCTGCAGACCCCAGGAGGGGGCATGCAGTAGTGCTGGGGGTGTCTGTGCTGGAGATGGATTCCCTGCTGAGAGCTGCTGGCCAGTGCAAACAGCTCAGCTGGGCATGGAGGGCTACAGACCAGCACCCCTCACCTCCTATTGGGGACCCTGACCTGGGCAGAGCCCCTGTGCCCTGCGGCATCTCGATGCCTAGCCCCCACGGCCTCTGTGCCGTGGCCTCGGGGTGCAGAACTCCTGCCTGGCTTTATCTAACCTTGCCTGTGCATCCCTGCAGCCCTCAACGACTGTGTCCCGGCCTCGGTGCTCATCGAGTCAACCATCAGGCTCCTGACCAGCTGCCTCTCCTCCATGCCTCCAGGTACGGGCAGCGCTGGGCTAGGGCTGGGGGTGGCGTGGCCGGGAATGGGTTTTAGTCTGTGCCAGGTGCCACCAGGACAAAGACTAGGCTGGGGCTCCCCTGCCTCCACTGGCAGCACCGTGCCCGGCTCTGCAGGCCCCCGCTCACCCCCTCCTCTCTCCTCCCTGCAGCCGAGAGGAACCCGGCGTCCCTGGCCCAGCACGAGCCCTTCGTGTGGGTGAGCAAGTGGGTGGACTATTCCAACAAGTACGGCTTCGGCTACCAGCTCTCGGACCGTGCCGTCGGCGTCCTCTTCAACAACGGCACCCACATGGCCCTCTCCGCCAACCGCCGGTGAGAGCAGGGCTCTGGGCCTGGTCCTGGGGGCTGGCGGGGACCCCCTGCCCTGGCTTTGGGGTGTGCGGGAGGTTGCCGGGAGCTCCTGGACATGCCCTCACCCCTTGTGCTCCCTGCAGCATGGTGCATTACCACCTGACTGGCAGCAAGCACGTGGCCTTCCGCGCCACGTCCGTGCCCCCCGCGCTGCAGGGGCAGCTGGGCATCCTGCGGTACTTCACCTCCTACATGGAGCAGCGTCTCATGAGGGTGAGTGCTGCAGCACTGGAGGGGGGGTCCTTTCAGTCCCATGGGGTGTGGGGACAGGTGGGCAGTGGAGATGGGGTACTGGGTGTGGGGAGGTAGGTGCTGGGGCGCTCCCTTCGGCTCCCTCGGGCTGCAGAAGCAGTAGCCGGCATTGGCTGGGGCTCAGCCCTGGGTGCATGGAGGTGCTACCCCGGTCCCTACCCCTGCAAGCCCAGCTGCCCCCATGGGGGTGGGTGCATGCACCTGGGGTCCCTCGTGACTAACGCTGCCCTTGCCCTTGCAGGGTGGAGACCTGCCCAGCCTGGATGAGGGCAGGCAGCCGGCCCTGCTGCTGCTGCAGTGGGTGAAGACCGACCTGGCCTTGCTCATGCTCTTTAGCAACAGCACCATCCAGGTGAGTGTGGGAGAGGGATGGGGAGGGCAGGGCGGGCGGGCGTGCAGGGCAGGAGCAGGCTGGCTAGGGCATCCCTGGAGCTGTTTCGGCAGGTCTGGCCTGGGCTCAGGGTCTCGCAGTCCTGGAGGCCTGCTTTGCAGGGGGTTGCTCATGTGGGACCCGGGGGGAAATGAGGGGTCCCCCTGAACAGTCTTGGAGCCTGTGGGGTGACGTGTGTCTCCCTCCGCCACCAGGTGAACTTCTACACGGACCACACCAAGGTGATCCTGAGCGAGGCTGCCGGCCTGCTCACCTACGTCACCCGGGACCGCAGCTCCTACACCTACAAGCTGAGCAGCCTGCGGGATCTGGGCTGCGCCCCCGAGCTCCAGCGCCGCCTCCGCTACGTCCTCAAGCTGCTGCAGGACCAGGCCGAGACCTAGGCACCGTCTGCACCGGGCTCGCAACCTCCATTGCCCCCACAGCTGGCACCCAGCTCCCCCAGGGCCATCATCACCGCTGGGCGAGGTGATCTTCTCTCCAGCCGGTTGCTGGCGCACGGGTGGAGATGCTCCCGCTGGTGCTGGGGTCTGCTTGGGGGCACCTACTGCTTTGCCCCCAAGTGCAGCAAGCAGCAGCCACTCCCCAGTGGCACCACTCTGGTGTGGGAGTCTGTGCAAGCTCTGCCTTCAGTCTCCAGCCCCTGGCTGGGCTGGGCTGGCGTCTTGGCAGTGGCCAGTGCTGCAGCATCTCCCAGGGCAAGATGCCTGCTGCTTCAGCCTGGCGCCTGCCGCGGCTGTCCTGGACACGCTGCGTGACTCATGGAGAGTGTTTCGGACTGCCTTGCGGCAGGATCACTACACTACGGAGGGGATTGGGGCCCTTCCCCGCAGGCCGTGGAGTGAGCTCCTACCCCCTGCCATGCGTGGCCACGGTACGATGCTCTAACGAGGGCAGGCCCCGCGTGGGCGGCTCCTCTCCCGCCCCCTCCCTGCCTGACCTTATTTATGGCTGTTATTTATATGGTGTCTATTTATTGTGGCTCACGTGGGCACGGCCTGGCCAGGCCCGCCTCCTAATAAAAACTTCCTTTTTCAAAAGCAGGAGTCTGTGCTGCCTCGGCTCCCTCTCCCTGGGGCAGGGGGGTCAAGCCCCGCATGCTCTCCTCGTGCTCCTGCTTACCCCTGCTGCTCTGTACCCCACGGGGTACTGAACTGGGCCCGGGGTCTCAGACCCCCTTGCAGCTGGCTTGCCCTTGGGGAGAAGTCTACCTCCAGCTGCTGTACCCTACAGCTGGGGGCTTGAGCCCCGCAGGCCTGGCCCATTTCTTGGTAGGAGTATGGCAGAGGGGTGCCTCCCCCCCCCCCCTTCCCTGGGGCTGGCTCCAGTGCCGGCTGCACCTGCTGTCCCCCATTGTCAGCCCAACAAAGGAGTGGCTGAGCTGGGATGTGGCCCCCACGCTCCCTCTGACTTGGGTGCCAGCTGCCCCAGCACCCCTCTAGCCCTGAGAGGGGGGAGATGGGGATGGGGACTTGAGTCCTGGCAAAGCCTCCCCAGGCAGGGATTTCTGCCCCGTTATCCTGCCCCAGTGGGAGCTGGAGGTCCCGTACCTCTGCTTCCATCCCCGCTCTGCAAGCTGGGTTGAAACCATCCATGGGCTATGCTGCAATGTGTGGCTCTTGGGGCAGGGGTCACCTCTGCAAGGTCAGCTACCACATCTGGCCGGTGGGCATGGCCCCCGGCTGTGGAGACCCCTGTGCCGCCACCCCGCAGTGTGGTAAAGCCACTCCCTGGGGGGACCAGACACAGACACGGACCCAGCGATCAGGGGCAGCATCCTCTTTATTGCCAGCGGCCCCAGGACTGCAGCTGGAGCGCGGTGGGGCATGGCCCCGGCGGGA